GTATTTTCACTTTCAATTATTTGCTACATTTTAACATGGCACACTAAAATTATTTGATTTTATTGTGGCAGGTAATATACTTGATTCATTTATACCAAGTAAATCTAAAAATATCTCTGTAGAGTTTTTAATTTCAGTTTCGTTTTGGTTATAATCAGAATTTTCTATAGATTCCAAATGTAAATGTGTATTGAATGCATTGCTGTAATTAGTTATTTTCTTGAGAATATGACTCATATTATTATTTTGTAAGTACTTAACAGTACCTTCATTTTTGTGTCCATAAATGACATTTTTTTCTTTCTGTGTAGATTGATAATAACGTTTCTCTAAATCTAATGCATGCTGTGCTTGACTTTGGCCTAGCTTAGCTGCTTTAGTAAAATAATCACGAGCTCTATCAATATCTACCGAGAAACCACCTCTGCCTTGGGCATGAAAAACTCCCAAATTGTATATTGCATCTGCATGACCTTGTTCTGCTGCATCATTATAATATCTTGCAGCCTATGAAAATTAATATAATTCATTAATGCAAAATATTTCTTTAAATGAACAATTAACAAGTAATTTATTATGAAATATAATTAATAAGCAATTCATTATGAAATACAATTAATAATTAATTCAAAAAATATTGTACCTTACTATAATCTGCTAATGTTCCAAGTCCCAGTTCATAACACAAACCCAAATTAAACATACTAGCAGCAGATGATAATTTTGCACCAGTAGTAAAGTGCTTTATTGCATCTTTATACCGTTTTTCTTCTAAAGCTTTGAGGCCATAATGAAGTTCAAATTCCCCTATAGCTAATTTGTGAATATTAGCAAATTCTTCAGTAGCTTCTTTGAGAGCCTAAGAGTATTTACAAAAAAAATGGATATTAAATGAAAGTATGTTAATTTTCATAAATGTACAATCAATAATTTTAATGTTTAAAGAGGACTGTGAGGTTTTAAGAAACTACAATGGTATTGTAATAATGGTTTCTTTAATATTATATTCATCATGAAATAAATATAATGGATAAATTTTGGGAAGGAAATGAAATAAGATAATTTTGATTCTTATAATACTTTCTTTTTTATCATATTATGCGATAAATATAAACATTTACAATACACAATTTAAAGTTACATAAAATTGGTCAAAATAGCAACTATAATTATTCACAAAGCAAAGAATATTCACGAAGAAAGAAACTAACTTGTAAATTACAAATAAATACAAAAACTGAACATAGAACAAATTATAGAAGTTATAACAGTGTGATGAAATAATGAAATGGTTTTCTTACTATAGGATATAAGTTTTACTATCTGT